GAGGCTTTGGTTGTAGATGTTTTTACATTGTTGGCACCTTCTGACATGCTTTTTCATTCTGTTGTTTTCAGAGCTAGTTCTGGGAAGTCTGCAAGTTTTTGTTGTTTCCAAGGTGGTGTGATGCAGAGAGAGGTGTGGTCACTTCTCTCCTAGTCTGTGCTCAGGTCTTTACCAAGGAAGGGCCTCTAATCATTTGAAGCTGCATATGTAATTGCTCTTCTTTGTCTTAGAACTGCAATCAGGGCTCCTGCCCCCTTGTGACTGACCACCAGTGCTCCTCTCCCCTTGTAACTGTGATCCAACTATATATGGGTAATAGAGTAGCCAGGCAGCACCAGCTATACCCAGTGCCAGCAAAGGTTCCCCTGTAATCTCTTTCTGATCATTTGTCTGGCTTCCTTACTGTCTCTGGGTTGAGAGCATCTGAAGCTGCTGCTGCTGCTGTGGCCACTGTTGCTGCTACCTCAAAGTGTGTGGGCTCTGGATAGACTTCTACCCTACCTCCACCCTGGTGTTACAGACATCTCCTGCCTACCTCTTAAGTTTCCTCAGGCCAGAAAAATGTCTCACATTGACTTTTTGTTGGCTCTGCTGCTCCAAAATTTGATTTTTGTTGTTTCATTTTTTAAAAAGTGACTTGATAAAGCAAAATTCAACCTTTAAGATTTTCCTCCAACAAAGTATCTCTCATGTATATTTTAAGTCCATGTAAGATTCCTTAATGAAGTAATTCATGACGTACATTATTCAATACACTACATATCATCATTGCCAAGTGAAGTATAAAACAGGGAGACATGTGCTTGCCACAGGTTTTTACTATTCTCATGGGAAATGTTGAGTAATGGAGTCCAAATGGAAGAGTGAAAATCTATGATTTTGAGGCCTTCCAGATGTTCCTAACATTATAGTGATTATATCAAGTATCAGACAACTACAGAACTTCTTCAGTGAGGTCCACTACCACACAAGTGTTCCTCACAGGCAAAACACAATGAGTAAAGAATGACTTTTTTCTAGACTGTGCTATGCAGGTGAGTACACAAGTCATGTTAGACTATCAGTGAATATATCTTAAAATAGTCTGATAGATGGACAGTGATCTGTGTCCATAGGTTCAATGGACAGAGAAAATCAGGTTGACTTGCCTTTGAAAGACTACCATATGCTTTCAATAATCCCCTGTTGCACAAATCAGTCTTTTAACACCAGTATTTATGTGGTGATACATTATGATGGCAAATAATGGAATTCTACCATACAAAGAAGTAAAATCAAAAGACAGTGTTGGCTCTGCACATTGCCAATGGCAAATTGGTGCAAGACTTGGTCTGAATGATATGCAGAAAAATAAAAGGGGATCTGAGCTATTTAGCAAAAGGAAGACATAGCAGGTGGCGAGAGAGCCCAGTTACTGCATTGGTCCCTGTCAAATGTTAAAAGACCTCAAAGAAGGCCCCATATGTATTGGTTAGTTTCTCTTTGGAGATTTAATGAAACTATGTAAACAAGAGTTGAACAGGACACAAGAAAATGTGGGTAGTTTGGTTCTTTACCACTGAAAGAAATATACATATTGAAATTATGTATCTAATAAGATCTAATAAGAAGGTTCTAATAAGTTGGAATGATAATTGGAACACATTGAGTTGTTGACATGATTTATCCCATCCACCCCTAAAATGTAGTAATAGCATTTCCAAACATCAAACACAGGCTTGGTCATGTTTCAGAGTGGGTTCAGTGAACTTTATATTTGATTGTGTGATTTTTGGGGCTAATTTTGATTGTAAATGACATGGCTTGGTAATGAACCATATGCTGTGTTACCTTTTCCTTTCTATAGCCCCCATTAGGATGGCATATAGATGATTACAGGATTATAAATTTTAATGTAGAGGGGACCTCTGGTGACATCCAGTTCAACCCTTTCTACAGATGAGGAAATTGAGGCCCAGAGAAATGAAGCAATTTACCTTACCATCATTAGTGACAGACCCAGTATTCAAACCCATATCCTCTAATTCTGTGTGTATCTTGTACATATTTAGATACTAATATGTCTCTCCCATTAAAATGTGAGCTCATTGAGCACAAGGACTGGATTTTTGCCTTTTTTCGTATCCCCAGCCCTTAACACAGTGCCTGGCACATAATAAATCCTTAAAAACTGCTCATTGACTGACTGACTGACTCTAACTCCAAATCCACCTGCCATTTGGAAGTTTTGTTTTTTACTTTCTGAAATGTCTCCATTCCCTCTGCAACAACCCATTTATTACACTGAGCAGATTCCATGTAGGAAGACTCTATTTTGATAAAGAGCAGGGAAACTTGAATCAACTCACTACATTGCCTTTTTCCTTCATTTTCCATGCTGTGGATTCAGAGAAGAGCAGGCCATCATCTCCATGGATTTTCATTTTGTTTTGTTTTAAATGGATCGTGCCATGTGTGTTGAAAAGAAAAAAAAAGATGTTCCAAGTAGATTGTTAGGTATGTTCTTATCTCAGAATGCATATTTTGCTCATCTGCCTGTAATCAGGACCTCTAGTCAACTCCTTATTTTCTAACTTAACTGTAACATATAGTTATATGTTATTAACTTAACTATAACACCTTTTTTCCTCAGAAGAGCTTGAGTGAGCTTAGGGAGAGTTCCCTATTATTTCCTCCTGCCAGCTGACCCAAGGACAAATGTCCCTTACATTATATCCTGCATGTGATCCTAAGGGGTTGTCTGCAAATCAAATTTTTTTTGGTGAATTAAATCTCCTTTCCTTAACTTAGGTTATAATTTCAGAGATAGTTAATGTTCATTTTTTCCTTAATTACTGTTGTATTAAACATTATGACTATAAGATTTTGTACTTTCTCTGCTCCCTAGAATAATTATGTATAAGCAAACAATTAGACCTATTAGGAGAGCTTTCTGACTTAAATGAATTAAAGAAAATTTTGCAATACAAATCTTCTGTCCTTTTTCTTTCCCATCCATTCTTCCTCCTACTCCTAAGACACATAGACCCCTAATTTATATATGGTAGAAGTTTGGATTTCCTTCTCTTGGTTTTCTTAAATGATGTGGGACACATTGCTCTGCTAGTAGGGACACTCATTTCACTACTGTGCTGACTACTTCGGCCATTTATTAATCCATCTGAATTAATACTGTTGTGGTTGCCTGATGGTTTGGTTCAAGAAGTGCCACCCAATGACATCCTCTAGCCCCTAAAAATATCCTAACCACACATTGCCATAACAAATCCATCATTTGTGTTTTATCCTTTATTGTTAAGGCACTTGATTGACAGGAGTCTCATGTTAAAAATTAAATATTCTTACAAAAAATAACTGTATAAGAAGAAAAGTTACTTTCATATGTTATACTTCTGTCAGAAAATAAGGAGCTGACTAGAGGTCCTGATTACAGGCAGATGAGTAAAATATGTATTCTGAGATAAGAACATACCTAGCAATCTACTTGGATCATCTTTTTTTTTTTTTCAACACACAAGGCAGGATCCATTTAAAACAAAACAAAAATCCGTGGGGATGGCAGCCTACTCTTCTTAATAACTCATCAACCAGTATACCTTATCCTGAATTAGTCAATCATATTACCTAGCAGAGAAAGAGAAAATAAGAACTAGAAGAGGTAAGTTTTGATAGGGAAGAAGATGTAGTAAGGGGACTGAATCCAGAGCGTAAGTATGGCTTGGGAAAAGCTAGAGTTGGGGGTTCTTAGGAGATGGTTGGCAGCTTGGAATAGAAGTTGGGAAAGACTGAGAGAAAAGAGGACATACCACATTTTGTCTGTAACCAGCCCTGTTTGTTAAGTAATTTCTCCCCACCTTGGATTATACTTAAAGGTTAAGGATTCTATGTCATATAGATAGAGATGTTAATTTCTTAAGATTCCAGTGAATTCCTTTACATGTGGCAACATTTTTCAGTAGCAATGTAATGGAAAGAATACAGATTGGGTAGTTGAAGACCTCAGGCTTATTCCCAGCTATGCCACTTATTGTCCTGTGTGACTCTGGGAAGCTCATTTAGCCTTTCTGAGCCTCAGTTTCATCATTTGTAAAACAGGGAAAGTAATACCACCCTGCCAAGCTCACAGGGTTCTGTCAAGCTGAAATGCAATAATATATATAAAGATGTTTTGGAGATATCAATGTTGCTAAAGATTAATGTTATTTTGGAAAGCACTTGGTAAAAGTTAAAGTGCTTTTTATATATGTGACATTATGTGATAAGGTATATAGTGTGGCAAAAAGAATATTGAACTCGAAGGAGGGATGCCTGGGTTCAAAATCTGGTTTTGTGACTATTGGGCAGATCATCTGACCTCTCAAAACCTCTGCCTCTTTAGTTATAAAATGAGGAAAAGTATACTTACCTTATCAGGGCTATATAAGTAAAGTATTTTATGATACTTGGGTTTGTAAACTGGGATTTCCTGGGCATCCATGAACTTTGAATGGAAAAAAGTCAGCTTGATTTTCACTAACCTCTAACTGAAAATTATCATTTCTTTCAATTATTTAAAAACACTTTTCTGAGAAAAGTTTCAGAGGTTTCACTAGGCTGTCAAAGGGATCCATGATAACAAAAAAAGTTTAAGAATCCCTGCTTTAAATGCTATATAAATGTGAAGAGGAAGACCTGAGTTTGATTCATACCTCAAATACTTCCTAGTTATCTAACCTTGGGAAAGTCATTTGACCCCTCTTAGCCTCTGTTTCCTCATCTGTAAAATGGGGATGATAATAGCAGTAACAACCTTCAAGGGTTGTTGTAACGTTCAAAGGAGATAAACATTAAAGGACCACATAAATCCTTCTTGTTGTTCATCACAATTTATCTCTAGAAAGATTGAACAGCACCTTTGAGTCACTGTGGGCAGGATGTTTAATATGAGTCTTTCAGACATTGAATTATTTCCTTTCAGCATTTTGTATCGATTTTGTGACATTGTTAACTCCATTTTTTAGGTAATAACCACATGAAGGAGGAAAACTATGGTGCTGCAGTGGGCTGCTATACACAGGCCATAGAACTGGATCCAAATAATGCAGTTTATTATTGCAACAGGTAAAGAGGCATTTTATTGCAAGCAGTTTAAAACTCTAAACTTTGGATATAAAACTATGGAAGAGAAAGTTGACCTATGAATCAGAAACTTTTCAAGTCTCCTGTACTTGTTGACATTATCTAACAGAGGTGAGCTTTTGGGTTGCAGGGGCAGAGCAGTGAAGAAAGCATCAGCAATCCGGGATGGCTAATGCTTTCCTGAAGCTGGGCTTTAAAGGCTCCAGGCTCCATTTCCTGTGTTCAAGTCCAAAGACCTCTAGCTTAGTTTCTTAGTTCAGCCTGTGGAATTTTTATTTTAAAAAAAGCTATGCAATCCCTGGGATCAGATAATACTTAATACAGGAAATTCTGCCCCTTTGGTATAGCCCAAAAATCTCAATATTAAAGAGGCAAGAAATAGTTTTAATTATGAATAGCCTATGGCCCCTATTTGAAAATTTAAGAGAGGTCGGCTGGCCCAGATAAGCTTATTATTTATAATGAGATTAGGAATCCAGGACTGTTATGTGTCTGGCAGTGTGATGTTAAGTATAGCCAAGAATCTTTCCACGCTTGACATTCATTCAGCTCTCATTAAATCTGGAATCTATAATAATAGTACTCTTGCATTTAAAATAGTACCTTTCCCCCAAAGGAGTCCAGTAAGAGAAGAGTATTTAATTTACAGTAATTAGAATATTTTATTCTTATGTTTAAACTGGTATTGAATAAAGCTTGAGGATGGCTTCCAGTCTTTTAGGTGAGGCTTTCCTAGCTCAAATATCTATAAATATCTCGATAGACAGTTGTCCTGCCAGCTCCCCCATGCCATTTCTTTCTCAGCCAGCTGGCTACTATCATTTGGAGGCTCAGATGAACAGATACAAATATCCCTTTTAAGATTCCTTTTTATGGTCTTATTCATAATCAAAATACTTCTCACATGTCATCCTTTTTTTTTTTTTAACAGTGAGTCTGTTTTCCATTTTACTGTGTGGGGTTCTTAAAAGAATAAAAAACCAATAAACAGGTTTCCTTTCACCTTCATTGGTCAAAATCCTCTCTGTCCTTCAAGGCCTACCTAAAATTGTACCTGTACTGTGATGCTTTTGCTGAATACCCTAGCCAACGGTGAACTTTTCACTCATCTTAACATGTCTAGGACATGTATAAGCCATGTCTATACATAGCACTAGTTTTTGTTTGTTTTAGACCAGACTTGTGATTTCAATCAATGTGGGGAACTCCCAGATTTAAAATTCCTTCCTTAATACAAATCAGCAACAAGTCTGTAACTAATAGTCTTGGAGTTGCCTGTAGCACTTAAGTTGTTCAGTCGTTTCAGGCATATCTGAGTCTTTATGACCCCAGTTGGGGTCTTCTTGGCAAAAATACTGTAGTGGTTTGCATTTCCTTCTTTAGCTCATTTTACAGATGAGGAAACTGAGGCAAATGAAGTTAAGTGGCTTTCCTAGGGCCACACAGCTAGTAAGTCTCTGAGGCCGAATTTGAACTCAGGTCTTCCTGATTCCAGGTCCAGCACTCTGAGCATTTTGCCACCTAGCTGCACCAAAAGGTTAAGTGACTTACCCTTCCCTAGCCACACATCTTATATTTGTTACATTTTCTTTGTGCTTCCAGGGCAGCTAGATGGTGCAGAGAATAGAGCGCCATACCTGAACTCATCTTACTTAGTTCAAATCTGGCCTCAGATACTTACTGGCTATGTGACCCTGGGCAAATCACTTAACCCTATTTGCCTCAGTTTCCTCATCTGTCAAATGAGCTGGAGGAGGAAATGGCAAACCACTCCAGTATCTTTGCCAAGAAAACCCCAAATGGGGTCACGAAGAGTCAAACACAACTGAAACGACTAAACAACAACAACAACAACAACAGTGTGTGCTTCTACGGCCATTCCTCCTTTTACTATACCGTGATGCTTCTCAGTCACACATATTGGCTATGTGTGTACAGTGTAACCTGTATGGTTGTATATTATCATTATTTGTTGACATGCAGTTTATCTCCTTAATTTGAAAGCTCTTAGAACCCAGAGATCATGTCTTATGCTTCTCTGTACACAGTATAGAGCCTCACACTTGGCCAAAACTCAGTAAGTATTTATTGAATAAATGAATAGTTATGTAGAAAACATTGAGACAAAGCCCCTGCTCACAAAGCTTCCATCTTGGTTAAAAAAAGAAACAAACAAAGATCTACACAATTTTATCTACTCTGTCGTTCTCTGATTCGCATGTGTATGTCTTAAAATATTGTTAGAGAGTAATATAGGGATAGGGACTAGATCTGTGATTTCGCTGGCATGGGAAACTCCCTGATGAGGACATTCCTTCTACCAGTGTAAGTCAGTAGCTTTCTGTAACTTAAAGTCAGAGATTTGTCTGAACACTGAGGGGTTAAGTGATTTGGTCAGAGTTACACAGTATCTGTCTGAGGCAGGACTTGAACCCAGATTTTCTTGGTTTCCAAGACAGCATTCTATCAACTATGCCATCCTGAAGTATGTAATAAAGCGCTGATTTTGTTTTTGATTTTTTTCCCTCTAACTAAATTGTAAGCTCCTGGAATGCGAGGGTTTCTTTGTGGAATATAAATTCTAACTGCAACTCTCTCTCTCTCTCTCTCCCTATCTATCTATCTGTCCATCTTTCTTAATTTTGGAGGCAGTCAGGCTCAAGTAACTTGCCCAGGGTCACATAGCTAGTAAGTATCTGAGGCTGGATTTGAACTCAGGTCCTCCTGGTTCCAGGGCCATGCTCTATCCACTGCACTACTTAGCTGACCCAACCCTGTGCACTTAGCAGGGTGCGATGCACATAATAGAAACTCAGTACTTGATGGATGAATGAATGAATAGTAGAAACAATAAATAAAAAATACAACACAAGAAAATCAGCTTGGACTGGAGTAATTAGGTTTTGTAATTTGGCATCACAGAGTAAGTAGGCGGGGCATAAACAGGCGTCTAAGGTAGTTAGATTCAATAAGCAGATGTCATCCATTACAGATAAGGAAATGGAATAGCAGAAACAAAAAAAGACAATTTTGAATAGTGTAATAAGGAAGAGTAATGGCATTACTGTGTCCTCGGGATATCTTGGTCCATTAACTCTTATTTGGGTTTATAATTTCGAAAGTGATAAGCACAGACTCACCTTTGAATCCCAAATGCATTTATTAAAACACTAACCTTATGAAGTGGCATGAGAATCATATTTATAGATATATGCATATAAATATATAATACATAGTGCTTATGTGTTGCTATCACATGACATTGAAAGAATATTGCTTATGTTTCTACTACTCATGCGCTGATGTAGCATTAGAAGGATATTACTCTTGTGACATTGCAAGGTGGATACTTTTGTATCTAGGCTGATGTTCTTTCTTTCTTAGCTAATCCTCAGCTGAAAATTTCAACATAGATGTCCTGGACCCCAGTCTCCCTGTCTCTGGAAATAGAGTCAGATTTTAATCATTTGAGTTGCAGTCAGGTACCATTTAGGTGAATGACTGCAGACTGAATGACTCTAGTGGGCCACTATGGTACTGAATTTTACAATATTCTTGGAGGACCTTGCAGCTCTCAGTTCATTCTTTGCTTCCTTCCTTCCTTTTCCCTCCCTCTTTCTTTCTTTTTTTTTGGGGGGGGGGAGGTGTGTTTCCAAGTTTATTGGAAAGAAAGCAAAAATAAATAAATATTAACCATCTCCTCTTGGTGTTTTGAAGTTCATCCGAACCGTGGGCTGGGTAACTTGCAGGTTGGACAAACTGTCAAAGCCCAGAAGTTTCAACATTTCTTTGGTATTAGGGTCTACTTCAATGATGTCCTGAATCAAAGCAGAGACCTCAGGGCTGGAGCTGTCCCTCCTTTCTCTTTCTTCTTTCTGCAATTTAATGGCAATGCCTCTCATAAGGCCTCTCTAGATCTGCTTCATCAGATGAGTACCATATCCCGAGATCTTGTTGTGGGGCGTCTTGCCGGGGATGGTGGCGATCTCCGTATGCATACAAGCTTGTTGGTGTGAAAGTTGTTGCCCAGGCTTATATAGTACTTTTCAGTGATGACCTGCACTATCTTTTTCATGGTCTTGGTCCAAATGTGACCCATGTTGGCTCTGAGGGGTGAAAGGCCCAATTGTTGCTTTCAAAGATTTGTGCCTTCCTTATTGGTTGACAGAGCTTATGCCATGCTTGTAGAATATCCTGGAAAGTGTTGGTCAGTCAACTGAGAGGATTCCCAGTGGTAAGCTCTGGTCAATCAAGCTGGGAGTAGGAGATGAGGAGCACCTGGGTGCTCTTCCCCCAATGGCCAGAATGAATATATGACTATTATAAGGTCAGTAGCAGTTGAATGTATGTGATAAGTATTTAGAGCAGGGGTTCTTACCCATTCTTGCATCATAGACCCTTTGGCAACTTGGTGAAGCTTATGAACAAACTTCCTCAGATTAATGTTTTTAAAAACAGCTCATAATTGATGGAAATGCTGTATTTCCATTAGAGATTAGTGAAAATAAAGATGTATTTTCTCTCCCCAAGTTTGCAGACCCCCTGAAATCTGCCCCTAGTAGCCCCTAGTTGAACATATTACAAACTCAGGTAATTGATCTCCCAAGAACATAGGCATACCTTGTAAGTTTGCCCACAGTCTTCTCTGTCCTATGGGCTTTAATGTATGGCACACATCTGCCTAGGAGATTGGGGACTTTGTATTTTGGATCAACCCTACCTCTCACTATCACTTGTCTGTAGCTGCTTGATTAATGCTTATTTGGAGGAAATCCTACAGTTCCCTACTTCATCATTCTTGTTGCCATTCAGTCACAGAGCCCTGGATCTTTCTTGAAAACCAATGGAAAGACTTGTGTGGTGGTCAGAATATGTATTTTGTTAAGAGTGTTCACTAATCCCTGATGTACTTCATATTTAGTTGAGAAATTAATTGAGAAGGATTTTAGGCACCACTTGAGTGTTTTTTCTGCCCTGTTTGC